GGGGAAAGTATGAGTGGAGGCAGACATACAAGTCAAATTCAGGATAATGTTCACTGGTGTCTCCACTGGGTGAGAGCCTTACCCTGCCACCCAGCCTCACGTTAATATACAATTAATGTTCTTTACCTGAACTTCTTTTTCTTAACAGAAACTACTAGAGGGCTACAGGCTTTTTCTCTCCATACTCAAGACAGTTTAGCTTCATTCAGACCAATTTTGATTCCTCTCAGAGGAAGAAATCAACCTGTCAATTTTGGGTCACTCTGGTACCAGAATCTAGCTGCCTCTGCTTGGCAGAGGCCACCTGGCACAAGGAGTCACATCTGAAGATATTCACAGAATATTTACAGAAATCCATGAAAGCCTTTTCTGAGAACTGCTGAGTTTACTCTCTGTGACAAGCACAACATGCTATAGGCAGAAGCCACAGGACAAGGGTCAGCACTTCCCAAATGTAGGGTCTGACCCCGGTAGGCAGGTATGGCCTATGGCCTATTCCACCAGCTCCTCCTGGATCCCAGCCCCCCAAGACCATTTGTTCTACATTGGGGGTCTTCTAGAGGCTTCAGATCTGTCCTCTCTTCATGTCTCTGCTTCAGTCTTCAGAGTCTCAATCCCTCATCTGACACCCCAGGACCAGACATGGTCTGGTGTGAGAACATCAGAAAAACAACAGACAAATAAGCCACACCTTAGGAGGGTGGCAACTGGCACTGTCCAAGCACAGGGATGTTTCCACAGCAAGGCACATGACACCCCACTGGTGGATATGCAAGACTAAAAGGGGCTCTGTCAGCTGGAGTCAGATGCTGCACCTTGTGGGTAGGGCAGTGTGTCATTAAAAAGCCTTAACAGAGCTTTGGTGGTTTCAAACTCACTAGAAAGGCAGTTGCCTGCCAGCTTTAAATGCTAATCAGCTAACACCATCTAGGACTCTGCTGTCCTCCAATGTTCTGCATGGTCCTGGCCCAGCTGCTGTTTCTCTGTGACCCCTGGGCTTATCTTTTTCTCTGCTCCCATAAGAAGCTGCATCCTACCCCAACTGACAGAGCCCATTTTGTTGTGGATGCCCACAATAGTCCTGAGCTGCCTATTTCCCAAAATGGCATTGGAGGTGTCAAGTCTGGGTTGCAGGAATTACAGTGGTCTCCTGGGGAGTGAGGGCAGTGACCTAGAAGTCATATTTATTGTCATTTAGGGTCATAAGGACCCTGCCTAGTTCCATTCATAAAATACCAAAAAGAACTATGAATTGGATCAAAGGAAATGACAGGTAATAAGTATACACTTTCCAAATTTATAGGATAAGCTCTTCATAGGATAAACTCTGTGCTGCATCTCTGAAACAGATCCCATCTGTACATCTACATGCCCTGAAACAGATCATGTATTTTGATATCTTAGGAGATAAATGAATGCTTTGATTTCTTCCTTTCAATAACATGGTGTCTAGAATATAAAAAAAGACATAGTTGGATAATTAACTGTACATTAAAAAACAGAGTCAAAGATCAATTAAGTTATATTTTGGAGTGCCTTCAGAAATGAGTTGAAGATAGATTACCCAGGGGCAAGGGCACAAGTATGCAAATTCAAATCATGAAAGGCCAAAAGCTATTAAGGACATAGTAGTAAATCTGACATGGGTAAAACAGAACATGGGACAGGAATGGCTGATAGTAGATGAACTGGAAAGCCCACCAGGGACCAGATTCTAGCTTGGCCTTGTTTGGAAACATTGCCATTTTTTAATATTTCAAATATACCTTCCATTCAGGAGCAAGAGGTAGCACCAATAGGCATACAGACAAGACCTGCCAAAATCAGCTGCATATCCTGCATGAGCTTTCCATCTTTGGGCTACTTCTTTAAGGTCTACATCTTCATGGCCCTATTAAAGCCATCCTGTGGCCCATTAATTTTCTTTTTAAACAAGATCACAGATGCATCAGAAAATAGATGTGATAGGCCTGAGTGGGCTTGAAGCACACTGAGGATTTCTTTATACTCTTTTTTTTTTTCCTTTGTACTGGGGTTTGAATTCAGGGCTTCGTGTTTTCTAGGCAGGTGTTCTACTTGTGCACCTCTAATCCACAATGCAGATTTTTGAAGCATTGATTTTACCTGCACATTTTGGATGGAAGGAAATTATTTCTATCTGCAATATTAATAGATATATTACAAATAATGGAAAATCCATTTGATTTTTTAAAAATATACTTTATCTTTAGAGCAGTTTTAGATTCACAGTAAAATTGAGCGGAAAGTACAGACTTTCCTAGTCTCCTTGACCCCTTCCACAGGTACAGCCTCCCCACCAGAGCTGTACATTTGTCACAACTGATGAGCCTGCAACTGACACATCCTATCACCAGAGGCCATCAGGAGTCACTCTTCATGAAGTGTATTCTACAGGGTTTACAGAAATGGATAATGACAGGGACTCACCATTGTACTATCACAGAGGGTAGTTCCACTGCCCTAAAAATCCTCTGTGCTCTGTCTTTTCATCCTCCCTCCCCCAACCTCTGGCAACCACTGATCTTGTTTCTGTTGGCATAGTTTCACCCTCTCAAGAATGTTACACAGCTGGAATCATACAGTGTGTAGCCTTTTCAAACTGCTTCTTTCTCTTAGTCAGGGTCATTCTAGATTCCTATATGTCTGTTTTTCTTTAACCTTTTTATTAGCATACATTAGTTATACAAAGGGGTTTCATTGTGACATTTCCATACATGCATACAATGTACCCAATCAAATTCACCCCATCTGGCCCTCCCCCTCATATCCCCTCTCCCTTGTTAAAACAATTCAACAAGTTTCATTGCTATATTTTCATATATGTGTATAAAGTACTTTGACCATATTCACGCCTTACCTCCTTTACCTTCTCCTTTTGCCCTCCTTCTTCCCACTGGTACCCACACCAAAATAAGACCTGTTTTACATTCCTGTTATTGGTTTTTAAGGACTGGATTCTGTATATGAGAGAACATGTGATATTTGTCTCAATCTAGTTTTATGTTTTTGTTTGTTTTTTGCAGTATTGGGGTTTGAACTCAGGGCCTACACCTTGAACCACTCCACCAGCCCTTTTTGTGTGTGTATGATGGTTTTTTTCAAGATAGGCTTGGAACTGTGATCCTCCTGACCTCTACCTCCTGAGTAGCTAGGATTACAGGTGTAAGCCCCTGGCTTCTGGCCTCAATCTAGTTTATTTCACTTAATGTGATGATCTTTAGTTCCATTCACTTTCCTGCAAATGACATAATGCCATTCTTCTTTATCACTGAATAATACTCCATTGTGTACATATACCACATTTTCTTTATCCATTCATCTGCTGTGAGCACCTAGGCTGATTCCATGGCCTGGGTATTGTGAACAGTGCTGCTATTAACATGGGTATGGAGATATCTGGACTCTATGTTGACTTACATTCCTTTGGCTATAATATAGCCAGGAGTGACATAGCAGGATCATATGGTAGTTCTATCTTTAGCTTTTTTAAGGACGCTTCCTACTTACTTCCATAGTACTAATTTACATTCCCACGAACAGTTTGTAAGGATCCTTTCCCTTCCCGCCCCTTCCCCTACTGCATCCTTACCAGCATTTGTTGTTTGTTTTATTGATGATAGCCATTCTGACTTGGGTGAGATGGAATCTCAATAATGTTTTGGTTTGTATTTCTTTTATGGCTAAGAATGTTGGTCATTTGTACTTCTTTAGAAAAGAAGTCTTCTTAATTCCTCAGCCCATTTATTAATTGGATTATTCATTCATTTGATGTTTAATTTTTGGAACTCTATAGATTCTGGATATTAATCTTTATTCAGTTAATAACTAACAAAGATCTTCTCCTATCCTGTAGGCTTTCATTTGATTATGATAATTGTTTCCTTGCTGTACAGAGCTTTTTAATTTGATGCAATCCTATTTTTCAATTCTTATTCTTGTTTTCTGAGCAATTGGAGTTCTATTTAGAAAAGTGTTGCCATTCCTATCTTCAAGGGTCTTCTCTATGTTTTCTCTAGAAGTTTCAAAGTTTTGGGTCTTAAATTAAGATCTTTGATACATTTTGAATCATTTTTGTACAGGGTCTAGTTTCAGTCTTCTACATGTGGATATCCAGTTTTCCCAACACCATTTGTTGAAGAGACTATCTTTTCTCCAACATAGTTTTTTGGCACCTTTGCCAAAAATCAGATGGCTGATTATTACTAAATCTTCTATTCCACTGATATATATGTCTGCTTGTATGCCCATACCATGCTGTTTTTGTTACTATGGCTCTGTAGTATAACTCGAAACTCATTTAGTTTGGGGTCAAAAGTTTTTTCAAAAATTTCTCTTGTGCCTAAGCTGCTTCAGGGCTCACCTCCAACTGTCCCTTCTCCCCCATCAATCCCCATATATGTTACCTCCTCTGCCTTGGTGACATGAATTCCTAGTAAAGTTTAACACATGGTCAGCATGGACTGCTTGTCTATCACGTAAGAAGAGAACAGTGTTCTCATGTAAGAAGAGTGTGATGACCATCTCAAAGGATAGATACCACACTAATTTTTTTTTTTTAATTTCAGAGTCCTTTCTTAAGAATCCCAAAACAGAAGGCAGGTAAAAACAAACCAGCTCAGGTTAAAATGGACAAGAGGGCAGGGCAGAACCTATCCCTTCAGGAACACCTTTCCCCAGCCTTTCCAGGATCCCAGGGCATCCAGTGTGCTCCAAGCATCTGTAGCTGCCTACATATGACTGGTCTTAAGGAATGGAAACCAAGTCAGTAAACATGATGCATTTGTTTGTTTATCATCAACACTCTGAAACACCTCCGGGTGTCCACCATTTTTTACTTTCCTTGCTTAAATGAACACTAAACATAGTAACGAACTTCCACCATTTATCTCACCCAACTCTCTTAGAGAATAATTTTTTAAGTATTATTAATGATCCAAGTTCGCCTTTCTTTTAAGCACCTGTCAAGTTCACATTCCAATATGTCCTTGGAGAAAATAGAAGATCTCCATCTGGAGGAAAAATACCTACAACCAGAAACCAAAGAAGTGAATGGGGTCCTCATGACCAAGATGATAAGTGATAACTGGGGCAAAATATGGAACTTCCAAGCCAAGCCTGATGATCTCCTCATCGCAACCTATGCAAAGGCAGGTGGGTGTGATAAAGCGATGGTTGTTGATGCCATTTTTAGCAGATGTGGACCTCCTAATTTAAAAAAATGCAGTTTCACCAAGGCTGATCCCTGAACAAATGAAAACCAGACATGCTTGTGAGCTCTGATGTCCCTTCCTCCAAGATCCTCCCTTTTATTTTGGGCCCTGGTAGAGAAAGAGATGGACAGAATCACAAGCCCTCAACAGATAGAGTAAATTACAAAGTGGCATAAGAATATGAGGTCTGAGAAATAGTGTGCAAGTCCTTACAGTAAATCCTGCCAGCTAGGCACTCCTTGTTCTCCTTTGTTAAGCTTTCCTGGATTGCCTGCCATACCTGCCCCTAAACCCGCTCTTAGTGGCAGAGACAGAAGTGGAACTAAGTGCTTATGGTCCAAGGTAAATAGCGCTGAGAGAGCTGGGTCAAAAATGTATGGTAAATGGATCTGGGAAGAGGAGGTGATGTTAAAAGAGCCAAATAAAATGAAGAGGGGCCTGAGGGGAAAGGAGGGTCAGGAAAGGCAATGGGTATTGCAGGCTTGTGCCGGGTAGAAAAAATAGGAAACAATGCCAGCAGGAAGACTGATAAATGACTAAAATTCCCCTGTGTTACCTGTATTTATCATTCCATGCAGTGTGACCAAGCAAGGTAAATAACTTCAAGCTATCACTACTTTGCAAAAGGCTCTCAGTGGCCATTTGACTCAGAAAGAGGAACATTAGCTATCTAGAACCAGGATTTCAGGAAAGGGTCTTTATTAATTCCTTCTGTGTCACTGTGGCCAAATACCTGACAGAAACAACTTGAGGAAAGAAAGACTTACTTTAGCTCACAGCTTCAGAGGGCTTAGTCCATGGATGCTTGGCCCATGCATTTGAGCACAAAACATTATGGTGGTGGGAGTATGTAGCAAAAGAGGTTTGCCACCTCATGGCAGACTGGAAGCAAAGAGTGAGGAAGGGACTGGGGACCAAGTACAATCTTCAGAGGCATATCCCCAGTAAACCACTTCCTGCAAGTAGATCCTATATTCTAAAGTTTGCAGAACCTCCCAAAATAGTGCCACTCATTGGTGACCAAGCACTCAAAACATGAACCGGTGGAGGACATTTCATATTGAAATGAGAGATTCTGCCCCAGGCCCCCAAAGGCTCATGATCATCTCATAATGCAAAAATGCTTTTAGTCTATCTCCAAAACCCTAAAAGTCTTAATATTTCCAAAATTGTTCAAAAGTCCAAATTTAAAGTCTTTTCTGAGATTTAAAGCAAACTCTTAGATATAAGCCCCTATAAAATCAAAAAGAAAGTTATATACTTGCAAAATACAATGGCAAATAAAACAACCACCCCCCCCCCGCCCCGCCCGAGAAAGGAAGGAATAGGAGAATAGCAAGGAAGGATGGGATCAAAGCAAGACTGAAGCTCAACAGGGCAAACACTGAAATCCTCTAATTCCATGTCTGGCATCTGGGACACAGTGAAATGATGTGAGCTCCAACTAGATCCCTTCCCTATGGCCTTGCCATTTGCAATCTACATGGCCTCTCTCTTAGGCTGGCTCCATTCCTTGCCTGTTGCTTCTTCAGCAGATGTTCCACATTTCTGGCATCTTCAACATTCTGGGGTCTCCCTCTTGCAGCTTAGGCTTTATCCTTACAGCTTTATGCATCACCCTCTCAGTAATAGCCTACAGTGACTCTGACCCTCTCACACAGCCTGACCTCCCATGCTTTCCTTTGAAATCTGGATTGAAGCCCTTATGACCTGTAACTCTTTCATTCTGCATACCTACAAAAACCAGCTGAGCTTGGTGAAATGAATCCTTGGGAAACAACTTCCTAGGTGGTGCTGTTGGTACAGGGAGCCCCAGAGATGCTCTCTTTTCAAGGAAAAGTCTTTCAAATGAGTTTACTCTCTCATACTTTTGAGGTTGTTTATGGATAGTCTAGCCAATTCCTGAGATGCCCTTAAGGTATCTCTTCTATTGTCCTGACGCAAAGTTCTTGGTTTGTTTTTCTAATGGTGATAATCTCTTTAGAAACTATACCTTCCTTAGCTCCAACTTTATAAACCGACTTTTCTGATCAAACTGCAAGTTTTTCAATTCTTTCTTCTCTTGTTTGTTGCTCCCTTTTCTCACTGTAAACCTAGCTAAAAGCAGCTAACAATAACTATGCCACAGCATGTTCCTAAATGCTGGACTGCCTTGAAATCTCCTCCACCAAATTAAATAGTCCATCACCTTTAAACTCAGCCTCACACAAAGTCCCAATATTGAAAAAATGTAGACAAGTTCTTTGCCAGAATGTAACCTGAATGGCCTCTAATCTGAGTCCTTGTTCCCATCTGAAACCTCAGGAGCCTGGTCTTCACTGTCAGCATTCCTGCTGGCATTCTGGTCTTCTGAGCCCACACAAGAATCACCCACGAAGTTAGGCTTCAGCATTGTAGGGCTTCTCTAGCTCCACACCTCCAAACTCTCAAATCCCTCCCACAAACCAGTTCCAAAGGCTTGAGGAACCACAAGGTCAGGTTTAGTCACATCAAGGACTCTGTTAATGGAAAATTTAGCACTGGTGTATATCCTGGTTCTTTCATCCAGCAAGAGAAGAATTCAGGCATGATGCAAAAATGCAGTGAAAGTAATAGCAAAGTTTATTAGGAAAGGAATTTAGTATACAGGATAAAAGTGGTGGTGGGGGGGATGGGACAAGGGGGACATTTCTTGCTCCCTGTGCAGGAAATGGGCGTAAAGACTCAAAGTGACTGTTCTATATTTTCTGAGCTGGGGATCATTAAGGTAAGAGATCTAGGTGGACAAGATTCGTGTTAAAACAGGGAGGTGTCATTCAGGCTTACTTAACAGGAACAATAGGTATGCTTTAGGACTTCCCTTTGCTAAGACATGACTTTCATTCTTTTTGCCCGCCACCAATTCAATGAGCCTTGTAGCTTGTTAACATCTCAAAGAGGAAGGAAGATGCAGATAGCCTTTAAAGTCTCCCTGTTCTTGTAATTTAGCATCTAAAAGGAGATGGGAGGATGTGCCTAGTTGCTCTGGCTTTTTACACTTTTACTTTCTAGTTTAAATGTATGAGCCTGAACCTTTTACTATTTATTAAAATAATATAATTTCCCTGTCTCCTCAGCTATCTATCCTGCCTCATCCATCCCTCTTGACTACTACCTAACAACTCCACTTCTCTGTATTGGTTAGCTTTTCTCATCATTATGACAGAATGCCTGACATAAACAATTTAAGGGAGAATGGATTTATTTTGGCTCATAATTTCAGTCCATCATGTCACAAAGGTGTTGTGGAGGAGAGCTGAGTCTATGAGGCCTGTGCATGGGGTATGAAAGATTTCCCAGAAAAATAAGAATTGAAGCAGAAGCAAAGTTTTACTCACTTTCCAAGGGAGCAAAGGGGCTGATACTTAGAGGTATCTGCCCAGAATAAGGACTACGGTTTATAAGCATTTGAGATGTAGAAGGGATGTATTGTTAATATTACATTTTTTTCATTTAGCTAGCTGTTCCAGGAAGCTAAATGTTTTGCCAAGGTGGTTGTTTGTTAACTTGTACAATCTTTCCTATGACACCATGAGGGCAAATATGTTGTCAAAAAGATGCAAGCGGGGTTCCACTTCGAGGCAGGCTAGAATTAGGGCAAGTTTGGGACTCATAGAAAAATATTACATCTTAGATTAACCATGCTTTGGCTCAGGTACCACCCTCACCTGGCTGGGAACCACATATGCCCCTTCCCACTCATTGATTATTGGATGGGAATCACCTGGTTCTGTCCTTCCCCTAGATTAGCATAAGTTTTAAAAGTACCTGAGAAAGAAAAGCTCAGTCTCTCTGCTGGCAGACTCAACCTGTGCCTACCAGGCTCCCCTTTGTATTTCCTTGTTTACATGGATGTAAATGGAGTACATGGATGTAAACTCCATTTACATCCATGTGTACTGCCATGGATTCTTCCATGCAGGACAAAAAAACTGGAAGTTTTCTGATCACTGACTGAATGAGTGTTGTTAACTTGAGTTCAGAAAAAATAGTTTCTGCAAAACAAAGTAAAACAGATTTCCTGACAGACAAGATGGAGTCCTTTACAAAATGGAGTTTGTTAAGCCAGTTTAAATTGGGACTTTACATATTCCCCCATCAGACTTAGGAGACCCATTCTTTGGGACATCAGATCTGAGTTTATCCAGAGTGACCCCTATTCTAAGAGGAGTTGAGGGAGGAAGAGCCGTGATCCTGTCCTCTTGAGTAGGATCATAGAATTATCCCTGAGAAATGAGGCAATCCCTCTGGGGTAAGGGCTGGAATTGGACAGTTTTAAAGGCCGAGTTGATATTAGGAGTATGTAGGCTCTCTATTAATTGGGTCATATGGTTTTGGAGAAAAGTGATTAAGATACAAATGATACAGGGTCTGAAAATGATACAGAAGACACACAATGGCATCCAAAGGTCCTAGAAAGGGAGACAGCCAAGAAACCAGGACCAGATGTTTAGTTTTTAAATTAAACCAATCTCATTCATATTGAAGGCTTCTTTTCTTTTTAGTTATTGGCCCATTTTAATAGGTCATCTGAGTTAGTTTGTACAATTTTAGACTGGTTTACATAAAAGTAGGATTTTCCTTTTAGCATGGCACATGTGCGTTCCCATGTTTCAGTTAGGAGATCAAAAGCTCTTCTGTTTTGGAAGACTACCCCATTAGATCTAATTGTATGGATCCTTGGAGATCACAGATGGCTAAGTACTCAAGTGATGGGAGGGAAGCAATCTTATGCCTAGATTAATGAATCCAAGAAGGCAGACCCAAAACTCTTGCAGCTGCGGGGGTGGTTAAGATAACCTAGAAGGGGCTTTCCAGGGTGGCTGAAGAGGTTTTGTTTGTCTAGGGAGGTCTTTTAGAAGAACTCAATCTCCAGCTTATAAAGTGAGTGTTTTAAGAGTACAGTCTATGGGTTGAGGAAGA